CAAGTTTCTCGCTACAATATGCGTTTATAAACGTCTTCACGTCGATGATTTGTCAATTTTTTTCACACGAAGTTGAAAAAAATTACTGGTTTTCAAAAAATTAATAAACGTACTGTGCAAAATAAGAACGTACTGGGTGGATGTTTGGGCCCAAAAAAATAAACGTACCCGTATGTTTATTTGGCAGATGAGAGTAAGTGCATGGAAAATGAAACACTGACTGCATCTGATCTAATATTCCTGTAGTCAGTGTAATATTACAAAACAATTTTCAAACCACTTTTCTCAATTATGATACAGGTCCGCCATTGAAGCTTGAAAAAAATGAGAGGATTTAAAATTAATTTCAGTTCCTAGCCATGCATGAAACACCCATATCATAATGGATTTCCCCAGCAATAACTAATGCCTAGTAACAGTAAACCTTCTGAGTGTACATGTACATGTATCAGCTGTTGTTATTACTGAACGGAAAATAAAACCTGCATACTAGTGGGCAGGTTAGTGTAAAATTGGAGTTTTGCAGATACTAGTATAATTGTGAGTCTGTGCCTAACTTGTATATGAATCACATTATGATACAACCTTGAACCTACATAGCACTATGGTACGTGACAAATAGCTAGTTAGTGTTTTCTATAATATTTTCACAATTTTAGACAATTTTGGGCTGGCTCAAGCCATATTTTGCTGGATGATTTCATTCCGGGCTAGTGCATATATAATGTTCAAGCAGACATAGAAGATGCCTATACAATTCAAACTTTACCTGCTCTAGCCTAAATATGGAGGTGCTACATTTGCACATGTACATGTACTCTGTACTTCAACATTCAAGCCATAAAGGTACAATACTTTTTCATCACCACTATACTACATTTTAGTACTCAGAAGCAAACCGTCTTGGGAAATTGGTTTGGAAGGCAGTTGTGAAAAAATGTCATGGACAATAACCTACAGTGACTGGAGTTACTGAGTGATGTCAAGTCCATCTGTTTTGCAACAAACAAAAGGAGATTATCCACAACAGTCCTGTTGCTAGGGGTACCACCTGTTGTACATGACTAGCATTGCAGAAAAGCAATAATAACCATCTGGAACAAAGGAACTGCCTTTCTTCCACAGCAGATGTTATTACTGCCCTCCTGGGCCGAGAAGGGTCACATGGGGTTCATTGAAAAGTGTTGATTTTGTATCCTTCAGAATGTTTATTGTTGGCATTGGAATTCATGGTGATGAAATATGCAGTACTCGCTACAGCAGATAGGAGGCACTACTGCAAGACAATTTTATGTTTCCACTAACTTAAAGCAAGTGAAGAGGATTGGGAGAAGAGGGGGGGTGGTACACGTGTAAGAGTGGGCTAAGAGTTGAAAAAGACGGAAGAGTTGAAAAAGGCCAAGAGTGGGGGAGGGGGAAGATTTGAGGAAGGGCAAGAGTGGGAGAGGGGGAAGATTTGAGGAAGGGCAAGACTGGGGGACGGGGGAAGAGTTGAGGTAGGGGAAGAGTAGGGGAGGGGGGAAGAGTGGGCCATGGGGGAGGGAGGAAGATTTACCTTTATTCCCTTCTAAAACTAGCATCTTCTTTGTACCACTCCAGAATTACTGAAGTGGTGTTTTCCAATCAGTAATTTTGCTACAAAGGAGATGCTAGTTTTACTCTTTTAGCAATAAACAACATGGCGCCCCAGGTGTATTTAGAGCATATACAAGTACAACAGAATCAGTCCAGTATTTAGGGAGATCTGAACATCACCAACCGACGGTCAGGTAAAATTGCAGGGAACCTCGGGGCACCCGAAAACTGGGACGAAAACAGAACATAGTGCTTCCAACAGGAAATGTCCAGTTCAGCCAATGGCGCCTTCCACGACTCTTGCTGAGGGCTATAATAAATTAAGAATATAGGCCCGAATCAAGAGTCTCCACGGCTATTCTACACTATGCTAATATGCACAATAATGGAGGGTATGTGAAAAATACCTTTAAATAAAATGCAAATGTACATGTAACGTTAAGGGGTGAGACTCTTACCAATAGAGTTTTTGACAAAAAAAAGGTGGGAAAGTTATCACAATAAACAACATTATGTTGCAAGAATCATGACCTTTAAATGTACATGTGAAACTTAAATTAGCTCTCTACAACAAGTCAAAATCAACGGCTTCAATGCAATTTTAGTTTTCAGATTTCTGATGTCTTTCCAACTTTGAAATGTCAGTAACTTTGGGAAGTTTTCTTTAGAAAACTGTAGATGATAGCCCCCCTCCCCAACTCAACAGGTTGGAGAGCAAATAAAAACACTCACAGACCAAAGGGCGAATAAAATCCTTTGCCAATCATATCTAGAAGTCTTACAAACCTTGTTAAGTGCCCTCTGCTTCTCTTCTAGAAGCATAAGAAGGGACAAACGCGACCCTTCATAGGTAGACCCAGTCTCGTCCTTTTCTTTTTCGTCCGCCATCTTTGATTTACAGTTCTGTTGTCATGGCGACGCCATATTTATATCACAAAACTTATATGTTTCTATGTTTTATGAAATTTTTATTGTAGAATTTACACATTAAATGTTCAAAATGCTACGAAATTGTGGAAATATTGCAGTATAATTGAAAATAATTGTCTGAGATTTAAAATTTACCCATGATCCTTTGCGCCCACAGGTGCAAGATGGCCGCCGTTCGGGAATTTTTGCCAAAGAACCACAGACTTATTCTCTTCCAACGGGCTAAATCAGAAGGTTCAGCAAGATTCATCGAGAACAAGAAGAAGAGGAAGGGTCCTGAAAACACAGAAGCTCTTACAGGGGAGGAAGCGAAGTCATTCTACGAGGATATCGTCGCATCTTCGTCAGTTGCAGACGACGAGACCAAATATCGACGTCAGCCAAACGCCAAAAACGTCACCCAAACATCAAAGCAGCGTTCCCGCAAACGTCGGAAGGAGACGCACCAGACGGAGACTGTTAAGGGAAAAGATCAGAACAAAGAACCTCCTTTCACTGCAACGGTGTCGGCCTTTCTTAGGTTCGCTCAAGACGGTGACTTGGAGGGTGTAGAAAAATACATCTCGCAAGGTGGCGCTGATTTGAACGCCACGGACCCTTTTGGGTGGACGGCTTTGATGTGTGCTTCTTTCGCCGGGCACCAAAGTGTCGTGCGATGTCTCCTGGAGCACGGCGCGAACTGGAGAGAACAAGCGGACTCCCGGGGAAGAAACGCTCTCGATTTAGCGAGAAAAGCAAGACACCAGAACATTGTAGATCTGATCCAAGAGTTCTCGAACAACGGTATTCTCTCTGTCGCCAAGGACGATCAGGAGGAAACAGGCCAAGACCAAAACGGTTACTTTTGCGGTGTTTGTCAACAAGAGTTCAAGGAAACTTCCAAGGAAGACCACGAACATTCGACTGTGCATCTATTCAACTGCCAGCACGCCCCGCCCTCTACTATGTACTTTCTACCCGAGAGTAACAGAGGTTTTCAGATGATGCTGCGGGAGGGCTGGGACAGGGAGGAAGGGTTAGGGAGAGACGGTCGTAAGGGCCAGAAATTCCCGGTTAAAACTGTGCTGAAGAGGGACAGAACTGGACTAGGGGCTAGACAAGATTACAGGGCAAAAGTGACGCATTTCTCCTCCCGCGACACTAAGGCGGTCAAGAAACCGCAGGAATCGGAGAAGAAACTGAGAAAGAGGACGCTGTCTAGGAGAGAAAGGACCGCAAAGGAGAGAAAGGAGAAGCAGTGGGAGAGGGATTTTAGGGCTTCATTTAACACGGATTTTTGACGAAACGTTGTCTCTGAAATATCAACGATAAAAAGAAGACTACGGTCTGTAGTCACCTATCGTATCTACTATGTGTTCTATGGATTGAACTGAAATAAAACATCACGAATTAAGAACTTCTTTGTGTGTTTGCTTCTTTCGTAACGCTCTGTTGTACGTATTCTTGGCGTATTGACAGGTTTTGCTCTAATATATCGGTCTCTACAACACACGTAGGATAAGACAGTTTAAGGTATAAGTATTAGGATTAGCAACCGCCCTTAACTATGGATCCCGAAGAGATCTTCCTACCTGGCTGAAACGACCAACAGGTTACTACGTGTATATCTGTCCCAAGACCGCATCACATACGCATAGTCACACTATAATGAGTGCGATGAATTTGATAGACGACTCGAATAAAGCCGGTAGAAAATTTTGATTACCTTCTTGGGTAGATACTGTTCCCTGATCTTCTCCCTGGCTGACAACAAAGATCTCCGGACGACTTGGAGCAGATCGGTCGATTCTCCCTCCAGTAGGCCGAACATGGACGACCGGGACGCCGCCATGGTTGAGTACAGGTAAACACAGACAGGGTGTGTTCTAGAACCATGTGTGGTTTGTGTATTGTTTCATCATCACCTGAAGGAACATCATTGTTTCGTCACTCTTTGACGCCATACACGGATAATCGGGTAGCCTATACCAGGCTTCGGGAAGCGGATGGAAAAGGTGGAAAATGGCCAAATAGACAGATATGCCAAAAGGGGAGTTGGTCCGCACTGAGAAGAGTTTAGAGTGTCTGTGTGTTTAGTCATTGGTTGATCCATCATGACCAGGTACAAAAATGTAGATTTCATAACGAACATTTTTCCCTATTCACATCAGCTTCGAGGCTCCCAGAGGATGCCATTCATATACTAGTAATCAAATTTAATCAACATGGCAAACGAAATAATTACCAAAAGAATGCCTCAGAAAAAGACTGGCAGATAAAATGTTTTTATTGAAAAACATACAGTACAAGAAACAGCTCATTTCTCATTACAATTACAAAACGAAATCTGTGAGATGCAAACAACACATCAGTCATAGATAATTATTAACATGTACATTTATATTATTCAATTACCACATTAATTTGGTGTTGATTGCAATACAGGTAATATAATATATGTAATACTATTGATACTACCCACATTGAAGCTTGAGTACATGTAACTGCAGGAATTCATTGTATCACACACACAAAAAAAAATGCCATTCTTTCCCGATTTGCACTATTATAAACCTGAAACGGAAGACTAAACTACAGGCATATCACAAGAACAGCAGACAACACTCAACTGATGCTCACAAGCAATACAAGTAAAAACTGTGCTATAGAAACTAATACACAACATGTATCAACACTTCCAAGTCTGCTGGGTACTCTAAGACTGTAATATTACAAACATAGTGTTCTCAAGAATGTCTTAAACACCTGGATATCTTTAAGTGTGCATAACTTGGGGATTACTGATGTTCGTAGATCTTAGATTCTTTTTCTTATCAATAAGTAAGCTTAGGGTACTTGGTAGAATTAGAATAGTTGACAAAGAGCAGCCATTCTCTATTAAGATGTAACAAAACCCTTTTTATATTGGCTAATAGTGACTGTGAATAATAATGCATAATAAAATGCAAGACTTACATTTACAAAATGTATCCTATTGCACTACAGACTGTGTAAAACTATCTTAAGTGCAGCATAAAGAAATATTTTTTTTAAAACAGGATACTAAATTCTAAGACAGATATGTTCAATGTAGTTTTCACAAATTACTAGTACTGTCTGACTACAGCTTTGCATATCTCTTACAAATACATGTACTTTCTCCTGAAGTTGATTCACATGAGTAGTAGTTCCACATGGTAATTCATGGCCCTTTAGGTTTTGAATTATCTCAAACCATTCCTGGGATTGTAGAAAGGTGTCACTATCATTGGTTTCTTACAAGATTAATCTGTTGGTAGCATCATCGAAAATTCATGCATGCACAGATGTCATCCATATAATCAAATCAACATGGCCTTATACTGGGATTAAACAAATTTCTTACTACTGTAGTGGACATTTTCAACCATTTGGTTGGTTTAAATACAGATGGAAGGGTGCAAAAGCACACTTCTACTAGCACACCGGTAGAGTTACAAAATTTGGCATCTAGCAGAGCTTTGTCAAAATGACTGTTAAACAGGAACTGGCATCTCTGATCCCAGCCAAAGAATTACTTTCATGGCAAAACTACTGAGACTCTTCTCACTACTTCTTCAACAGACTGGTTGACAAAATGACAGTAGCATTTGGTTATACTCTTGACTGTAACATTTATATAGCATAATTCACAATCAACCTTTCCAAATATTTGATTTCGAGCATGGCATATTACTTGCAACATTGATACGTCATCATTATATATATCATCATATTTTGCTTCCAAGGATTTGTATTATAATAAATCTGCATATTGTGTAATATAATATATAAACTGCATCATAGTACAATATAGCTCTATATACAGGCCCATCATGATGTAGTGTTATTCACAGTATTATGTACAAGATTCAAACTAAGACCACTTCAACAAAATAACCTGTTTCTATCACGTGTACAATACTGTCTGTGCTTAACAGTTGTGTGGCCCAAGGGCTAAGAAAATGGAACTGGGCACTGCCCTAAACATTATATACCATATGGCAGGGAAGGACTGTCAAAGCTTTGTATCAAAGTTACAAAAAACGGCTTTAATTGCCAAACATGTCAAAATGAGATGGCCTCAAACATATTTTTTTGCAACCTCCTTTGTCAGAAAAGTTGAGCTGGTAAAATTCTATGAGTTTTCATCCTACCACCTGCTTGGTGATAAATCATAGACAAGTGTTTGTGATATAATCTTTTGGTACAGGCAGTACTAGTTCTTATATCATTTTGTAGAAATAAGAAATTTTGTTGGTGGGACTTAGTTTACTAATGACATAAAACCATAGGGAACAAGTAATATTCTTCACTTTGAAAAGAATATCTCTCAGAAAGAAAACAATACAGCAAATGCTCTATAATGCAAACAATGGATAAAAGCAGAATTACATTGATCATTCAATAGATTCTTGTTTTAAAAAAATTCTTTTAAGCAGCAAAATGCTTCAATTAAATAAGATCAACCAATGGGCAACAATTGGGAAGACTGCAACAAGTGACAACACCAACAAAATCTTAGCAAAATTTCAAAATCAAACTCACATGCTTCTTTATAGCCTCAAACTAAAGAGCTTTAAGCATTAAAATAAGTAGGATTGAAGATAGCTTCTTGCTAAATTGTGAATTCAATGAGAAATACATTACATTTTCCAATGGCTTACATGTACCTTTCCTATTATTATGGCACAGATATTGATTGTAACTTTAATCAATGACGTGTAAAAAATGAATAATCCTAATGTAATTCATCACAAAACAATATGATTCTGATCAAATCTCTCTATATTATATACAGTTATGATACTATGCACATACACCTTCTCATGAACTTCGAGCAAACTTCACAAACAACAACAGCACAATGTATATTTTTTAACCCCAAACTAACAATAACTTTTTCATATTATGTTAGAATACCTGTAGGAAACTTGATACATTTCTAAGTTTTCAAAGGTGCTATAGGCAGTGGACTGGAGACACCCGGAGGAATTGTATTAACTTTTCCTTTACAGAGAAAAAAAAAGTCAATTTTGGTTACGTTGAGTGTATTTACAAGGTACATTGTATTGCAGCATTGGTACCTGTATTTCACTGTTGGTAATATTGTACTAGTATGTCAATGGCTTCTGATTTTGTGACAAAGGATGCTTTCTTTTGTGTACAAATAGCCTTATTGTTCAGTGTCTAGTGCAACATGTCTGTGTGTACATATAACATATATGTACATGTCGGTGCAAATTTTCTCTTTGTCAAAAGAGTGCGCAATAAATTTATTTCTCCAAATACAATTGGGTAATGTCTTCGAGCTACTTTGTGCAATTTTTTTCTCTTTACATTTTCTAGTGTCTAAAAGTGTGGCCATTGCGGCGTTAAAAACCACATAATTGAGAAAACATGTCGGGTCTCACTGTGCTTTTTGTCCTATGTGTAATGTCATTTTATATGGTTTGGAAGATTTTACATTGTTAGGACTTACACTGCTAAATTCACTGTAACTGTAACAGTAAAACATAAATGTACAGTACTGTATAAAGTCAGTGACAGTAGGTAACAAGAAATCTGCAAGCCAGATGGCTAGTCATGGATAAAGATAGTCATAGATAGTCAGCTGGACATCAACAATGTACAAAAAGATGGGTTGCTGCAATTTTCTCCATCATACTATTCATACAAGTAGTAATCACTCAGTATCTTCAGCAACAGTCCTACAATCCGTCGAATCCTCCAGATTCTCAAGTATTTCATTCATTTTTCACTTGACCATTAGTATTTCTAACCAGTGATGCATGTTTCTACCCATTCTAAAATGTCATGAATTCTGCACCTGGACCTGAAGATGCGATGCTGCTCTTCTGATCCCCATTTCAGGATATTGTCTTCAAGGAGACGTGACAGGTCTCTCGTCTTCTGACAAAACTACTTCAAGACTGTCACTGTCATCCCTGATGTCTTCAACAGCTGTTTTAAAGGACAGAGTTTGTAGAAGTCAATAATCAGTAGTACTTATCAAAATGCACTTAAGGAGAATCATCTTTCAGTGGTGAATTTAATCTGATCAAGAGATTCAGTCGATACAAATCTTGATGCAAAATCTCGTTGTCAAAAGTAAAAGGAAAGACAGCAAACTAGTACTGACCTTTGGTGGGTTGGCTGGAGAAGCTAGCCGGCTGCACAGAGAAGCGAGATGGACTCCAGGATGGGGAGGGGAGGGGGGATGACTGGGTAGATATAGATACATTGTGTGGTTATTGGTAGCAATGACAAAATACAACAAAGTCTAATATTTGATTAACAGACGGCCCATTGCAAAATTAGTGAAGTGGGGTACAGTCATCATCTATTAGGTACAGTACAATGTATGATCAATCAATCGATAAATAAATCAATAAAACTTTATAGATATGATTGTGATGGGAATCATGGGATTGACTATTTAAGGCATGGTTTTGCAAGAGTTATTTTCATCATTATTTCAATGAACAAACAAACAAACAAACCTCCAGCCTCTCCACGACGTGTGACTCCATCTGACCGTCGACCGCGGCGCTGAACATGGTGGTCCGGGGGATGTACGCGGCGGAGGAGCCCACGTAGTTGGAGGATATGGCGGCCTGCGTGAACACGAAGCTGGGAGACGTGCTGGGCGCCATGTTGTTCATGTCCTGTACGACCTTGGTCATCCCGTCATCCCACTCAAGGTCATATTCCTCCTCCTCTTCTTCATCATCGGAACCCCAGTCATACTCACCCTGGGGGGGGGGGGCAGTTTTCTTTTTAAATATTAACTGTTATGTCCCACATGTATCTTATGAATGTATATATTATGTACAAAATCATGTGCATTTATTGTATGTGTATGTTTCAAAACACCACTCATATTTACCCTTGGGGAGAGTTGTTTCTTTTAATATACAGTAAAAACTACCCAAGGGAACCCATAACATCTGGTTGTCACATTGGCCAGGTGGTTGTTATGTAGAGGTGGTGTCAAGTAGCAAAGATTTGTAATCTGGAAAAAATTGTTTAATTTCTTTTTCTAAGAAATGCCTGTATCCCACCTGTAAAGATGAATCCTCGTCCATTTCTGAGTCGGAGGTTTCAGATGTGGAACTCCCATCACTGTCACGGATCAGGACAATGTGCTCAAGGTCCTCATCTGGCTCCTGAGATTTAAAAAAAATTAGGTAATTAGTAAAGTGAAACTCCACATTTTGGTGTAAAGGTGCTCATTTCTAGCATAAACATGTACATGTACATCTCTGGGGCCAAGCAGGCCACTAGGTATAGCTAGTCTACTGGTGTCTTTGACATAGTCTTGCAACAAAATAATCTTAATCACACTCTTTTGTAAAAAAAAAAATATTGGTGAACACTGTCCCAGCATTTATCTCTACTTTGAATTCACAACATTGAGCAACAACAAAGAACATGTCCAGTTCCTGACCTTTGTGTAGTTGAAGACCTCCACATGTACAGAACTGCCTTCAGTCAGGAAACACACACGTCTGGACTTGTCAATCTGACGGACACAGGAAAAAAAAGTCTGTGAATTCTATGTTAAACTTAATGCTAAAATGATAACTTCGCAGTACAGAAATTACTGCAATAACTGCAAACATAAATCTACCGTTGAAAAATAAAAAATCAAAGTAATTTTTATCATCTATCATTCTTGTTCTGCTGTTGCATATTTCAGCGGTGGTGAATCAAATTTTTTTCAAACGTACAACACTCAAACTCTGTATTCCTCACCTCACGGCCAGGTTGTTTGAGTGCACTTTTCTGTGGCTGAGGGGGTAGGATGGATGTGGGGGAGGGGGTGAGGGGGGTGGTCTGTATGCTGCTGGCCAGCGCGGAGTCTCGTGTGTCTGACTCTGGGAGGTCGTCTGTCGTGGACTCATACAGCTCCGTACCCCCCGTCAGACGTATGACATCACCAGCGAACCGGCCGGGCTGGTCTGGAAACAAGAGAGAGAAAAACTTTCCTAGTATTTTTAAAAAGACCCCATGTCCATAAAAAGCCAATTATTTCAATCAAGGAAAAAAAAGCCTTCCTGACAAATAAGCCTGACTCAAATGCATAATGAACTGTATAATTATAATGCAAAACAACTTACATAGTTTACACTGTACTGTAACAATGTTTCCTTAGTCAAAATTACAATCATACTACGTCATAGTACATGGCACATTTGTATGGCTACAGAACCCACACTTACATATATGTACATGTGAGCTTAAGGAGATATTAAGTTAATATCTCTTTAAACTCCACAGTCTAAAATCAGTGTTGTAACTATAGTTCACTGACCCCAGTCCTACTCTGAGCGTGTGCCAAATGTACGTGAGCCGACCTTTGGGTGTGCACTTAACACCACATTAAACATGTGAACCAGTCTGAGCTGGTTAACTCTGCTGTCAGAGATGTTAGCTGTGGCATGCTGCAAGCATGCTGCCCCCTGGCAGAGCAAACAAGAAGTGCAAACACTTGGAGACAGAACCAATTTTTCATCTTGTAAATTTAGTAGGCCACATACATGTATTAGCCATGAATGGTTCTGTAACTTTTCCTGGATTGCAGTGTAGTACTGTAAACCACTTTATATTTGCTGAAGCAAAATTTAGCAGTTTGACAAAAATAGACAATGTTCACAAAAACTATATGTTCACGGTGGCAGCAGGTGAAAAAGAAATTTATAAAGTCGCAGTGAATTATTTGTTCGCAGTAAAAATAAATTCGCAGTAAAGAAGTGACTGCAAAAACTGCGAATATAAAAGTACAGCGAATATAAAGTGATTTTTCAGTATTCTACAGTCACACAGCCAGTACCTTGCACCCTGCTGTCGGGATGGTCTGTAGACTCCTGCGGTCCGTCCAGGTCGTCCAGCAGCAGTACAGGACCAGTCGTGGCCGGATCCATGGTCACCACGATCGCTGGTACGTCCTCCGTGTGTGAACTGTCTGCTACAGTCACCTGACATGTGAAAACACATTTCAGTTGTTAGGAATCCTATTCACTCCAGACTACTTTATATCCAAATCTGTGGAAATCATGGAAATGCGTATGAGAAAAAGACTCCTGGCTTTAAGAAAGAGTTGAAAAACAAAATGGAAAAAAAAAACATTTACAAAACTAACCTGTTCCTCCAGGCTGTCCTCATCCATGTCTCTTGAGTCCTCCTCCGCGTACGGACTAACCAACATGGCGGAATCCGGGGACTCCGTGTCGTCCGAGAAGTCGTTGGTGACCACGGTCTTGACCTCTGACACCGCGGGGCTGGTCACTTCATCCTCGGAACCTTGGCTTTCGCTGAGCGAGGCCTTCCTTTCACGATACAGCTCAAGCTCATCCTTAGGAGGGCCAAACTTGGGGCTTCCCTTGGGCGAGTACTGTGCAGCTGAGTCGTGAAAGGAGCTGCCTTCGCCTGCAACGTCCGAACGTTCGGTACCAGCTACACCGTCGCTGTTTACTATGGTGACACTTTCTTGCTCGTCTGGATTATTAGCTGGCCCAGCTGAGCTTTCTTCCTCTTCATCTGAGCTTGCCCAGTCCCCGGTGATGTCTGCTCCTGAGTCGCCCTGCACGCTACTGCTCACCGAGTCCTCATCTCTCGGCAGCTTGGCGCTCGTGGGGACAAAACTGCTCCCAAAGATGTCCTGTCCGAGGGAGGCTGCACTTAAGTCTAGGTCTTTGGGGAACTGTTCATTCTCTTCTGGTGCAACCTCGTCTTTGTACACCAAGGGCTGCACGTCAAAAGACAAGTCACTGTCTGAAACATTTTCTCCTCCCTGCATGTTCAGAAAGCCGTCAGGCTTGTTGAAACTTTCTTTAGACATTTCTACTGCATCAGAAGCGTTCTTCGCATCCAATCCAGTGGATGCAAAAGGCTCACTGTCTTGAAGAAGGCTTGCTTCTTTGTCTACAAAAGTCTTAAGACCTGTCTCATCGAAGCTAAAACCTACTGTACTGTCTTGTTCTTCTACGGCTGATTCTGTGCTGTTTTCCACACTCACATCCCGTGTAGTCATGTCACGATTGTCTTCCGTTTTGCCCACTAACAGGGCTTCTTCATCTATGGCTTGTTGTCCGAGAGCAGACCAGTAAAAACCTGCTGATTTTTCCTCTGCACTGTCAAAAGTTCTTGTAACTTCCTTTGTGCTCAGTGAATCAAGCGCTGGGCCACTCTCTGTGTTCCTTTCCACCTGTTCTCCTTGCTTTGCTATGGTATCATTAGTATCATGATCACAGTTTCCATTTGAACAAACTGTGTCTAAACTACTGTCTGTTTGGCTACCGACAACCTCACAGTCTTCTACGGGGTGAGAAAGAACATCAGACTTGTCCTCTGAGTCATTCTTTCTTTTCTGCTAGAACAGTTTGACTGAAATCTGCTGCAGATACAAACAGTTGTGACTCCACCGACTGGTCTTCCTTTGCCACAGCTTGGAGATTCAACGCAGAGTCTTCTAAAGTGACCTGGCCCATGGAGGTGTCAGGAGTAGCATAACTCCCAGTTGCACTCTCACTCGACTCTTCAACATTAGCCTCCGAGCCGGATTCACTTTTTACAGGTGATTCTGCAGGTGTCTGGACTGAAGCCTCCACTTCTAGTGTGGGAGTGCTTGTACGCTGGAAGGACCCCTTTCCTGCCACTGTTTCCTGTACTGTGGACCTTACTAGACTTGTTCCCGCAGTGTCTGAGAACTGAAATGTCTTGGTTTCTGTGCTGTGTTCCACAGTACTTTCCCTGCTGGTGCGTTGTTGTACAGATTCTGTCACAATATGTTCTGCTGATGGATATTGGCTAAACCCACCACTACCTGGGCTCACTAGCAACGTATCAAAAACATCTGTTGCTTTTCCTTATCGACTTTCACTTCTCTTGACGTTTCAGACTTGTGTACTTCACTTCTAAACGAGAAGGTACTACTACTACTACTAGTTGATGTAGCAAAGCTTTCCTGCACAACAGTGCTGACCATGGTAGAACTTGCAGACTGAAGTTTCTGTAACTCAGACACCCGTTTTTCATGAGTCACAAGTTGTTGTCCCTTTGAGACGGTGACCTCGTGCTGTTCCTGTGACAGCTGCTGCTGTCCTTGTCTAACTTCATGCTGTACTTGTTGTTGATACTGTTGTTGTATTTGGTGTTGTACTTGTTGATGTACCTGTTGTTGTTTATGTTGTTGTACTTGGTGTTGGGCTTGTTGTACATGTGGTTGTTGTACTTGTGGTTGCTGTACTTGTGGTTGCTGTACTTGTGATTGTTGTACCTGTGGTTGTACTTGTTGTTGTACTTGTGGTTGTACCTGTGGTTGTTGTGCCTGTGGTTGTTGTACATGTGGTTGCTGTACTTGTTGTTGTTGAGGAGTTCTGTGCTGCTCCTGTAGTTGAGGACGGAGTAGGGCTGGCAGCAGCAGTGTTGGCCCTGCAGAGTTGGAGTTATTTGCTGACACGTTACTGTTGGTAACCTCTGAAGTGCCTGTATCTGTTACATCAGGTTTTACACTTGTCTCTGCGGAGGTCTCTGATTCTGTTCCTTGGACGGATGGAAAAACGTTGTCGCTGCTGGCGGATTCCGCTCTGCTGCCCTTGTTGCTGTCCGGGCCGCCCGTGCGCTCGGTGTCGCTGCCCGTGAGAGTTCCAGTACTGACAATACTGCTGGAGGCACTGGAGCGGCGCGGCCAGTGGACAATCACGTCAACAGGCACAACTCCAGATGCTACACTACCTGTAGGGACATTTTTAGCAAAACACAATACGGACTTTATCTCCCGTCCAAATAGTTCAGAAATCATTCAAATTTCTTATACTGTAATAAAAAATAATGTGCAAAGCAGATAGCTAAGTTTACGTACTTACAAACAAACTGCTGGAACACTGGCAGTACTGTCTGTCTGGTTGGGTCTCTTTTCCTTAGATTTTAGCTCACAGACGTGGTACAGAATGACACCCAGACAAAAAGCTATGAAAAGCCACCCTCACATGTAGCCACATACATGTACAGTTGTAGCACTTTTCTAAAGCAGTCCACTATATGCACCCAAGACCACCATTTATTTCAGTATCTTATTTCAGAGCCTACAGTTTCTAGTCCAAGAACAGTCCAGAAACTTTGGCGGGTCAGACACATACAGGTAATAAAAAAGAAAAACACCTTGCTAAGATACAATGATACTATTGATAGCAATGGGTATGTGGGATATTTCCTTAATATGAATATTACACCAAAAATTCAACCCATACCATTACCACCCTACCTGTTGTCACCTGTTCTTATCAAGCAAACATCTCAGATGGTATTGTCAAAATGAAATCAGAGCACACAAGAATCTAAAAAGGGAGAGTGTTCGGAAAAGATAATAAGGAGTTCCCTTAAAAGTACAGTGTTATTTTCGGGGACTGGGGAGGAGTAGGTCTGTGTCCTCAGCACCTGGGAATATCATAGATCACGTGTCAGAAAAAACTCACTGTTAAAAATCATTCCATATTCTTACATTGCTATGTTATGGAAAGTGGACATTGCACTGAAATTCTTTAGCACTGTAGGTTGTTTCCTTTTGGCAGGTCTAATGAAAATACTGGGAGATAGTCTTATCAGATAGTTGATGAAGACTGAGAGAACTGAGAGATTTGAACATTCTGGTGAGTCTAATTTCTTTGAATTTGAGAACAAATTAATTTTCCACTATGTAAACTCAGATGAACAAATTTTTCACTACAGAGTCTTATTCTATTACAGACTGCTGCTACATGATATTGAGAGATGTAGAGACTGACCCGACAGCCGGCTGTCCTGTGAGGTTACCGACACGTTGAGACTGTGGCTGCTGCCGCGCAGGTGTGACATCACCAGGTCAGGCGAGCTTGACACCGCCGACCCGTTCAGCGCCAGTTTGGAGTCGTTGAGCGACGCGACCGTGTCCCGCGGCTTCATGGTCGTCCACTTACGCTCAAACTCTGCAGCGTCCAGCTCCTCCTTCTGGTGGCGGAGGTAAGACAGGAGGGAGTAGAGCTCCCCCATGGACGGCCTCTCCTCCGCACTCAGCCAGCAGAACTGCATCAACTCATACCTGAGACACACCAACAAAATAATGTACCATTCTTAGTGACAAATCTTGGCACATTGGTGACACAAAATCCACCTGTGCCCTCAACGTTGTTAATGTTCCAACCTGTTTGCAAGTGGACAAATACATTGTATGTCACTCTACCGATATTTAACCAAGAAAAAAGTGCAAAAGTGCTTCTAAAAATGTATTTAATGATGATTTAAGATTCAGAGGATTTGAAATCTTATGGCGTTAACAGCAGTTGGTCAATAAAAGGCTAGGGTCGGTTTGTTTTGCTAGGGTCAGTTGGGAAACCAGATACACAACATTTTTTTCCCTAGTCCTTACCATCTGTCTGCATGTAGGATGTCTAGTACAGGCTGGGGCAGGCGGACAGTCTGTTCAGTGATGACCTCTACCAGCACGTCCTGGTCACTCAGGCCGGAGTACGGCTGTCTGCCCAGCTCTAACAACTCCCACAGACACACTCCAAATGACCTACACAAGGAAAACGGAAAAATTAAAAACTAAGGTAACATTTGCAAAGTAAATGTACTGCTTACCTTTAACTGGTCTAGACCAACAAACAGTTCTTACTCAAAATCAAATACATTCATATGTATGGTGGCCTGCCCCTCAAACTCTGTTCTGCTATATAATGTAACCCAACACCCTAAAGCACCAGTTACCATGGTGACAGACATCTGCATGGTCCAGGTTATTGACTTTCTTTGTTTGGAGTGGAAGAAGAAGAAACCAAGAAAAAAAACGATATCTTTTCCTTCTTGTTTGAACCTTGAAAATTCTTTAGTTGTCAGAAGCTCAAATTTGCAGACTACAGACTGCAGACTGCTTTTCATTGAGGTTATGAGAAAAGTGGTAATGGTTAGATATACATGACTGTACATATATCAAGAAGATAAAGTTTACATCATTTAAAGTATCAGAGGTAACTAAGGGATACTGTTGACATGACAACCTACCAGACGTTGGCCTGAGTGGTGGTGTCCAGCAGTCGGACCTGACTGCCGGACAGCCGTGCGGTTTCCGGCGCCATCCACCGCACCGGAACCAGTTCAGTCTGGTTCACCAGAGCATAGTCCACCTGCGAGGGAAAACATGGGGTCCAGATATTTACAATCATGAAATGAGCAAATGACCAATTTTGACTGTATTCTTGTTGATTAACAGAACTTAAGTCTTTCCTCCTCACCTTATACCGCTCGTGAGACAAGCCGTAGTCTCCTATCTTCACAGTCAGGTCACTGCCGACCATACAGTTCCGCAGGGCCAGGTCACTACAAACAAACAAACATGTTTATGTTGATGAAAATCAGACATGCATGTTGTTATGAATGCACTGTGAACCACAGCACCAGCACCAGTTACCATGGTCACAGCTGTCTGGTCCAGGTCATTGACGTTACATGTATGTGAGAAACAGAACAAATCTGTTTTCCTTCTGAGAAGGTAAAATGAAGGAAATAAAATAAACAAAATAAACTAAGAGTGCCGTACCCATGAGTGAATCCATTCTGGTGCATGAAGTGCAGCCCAGCTGACATGTCACAGGCCATCCTCAGCAGGGTTCCCTTCTGGGCCAGGGTCTGGGCTTCTCTACGCTGCCGGACCAGGTAACCCTTCAAATCACCCTGTGGGAAGTAGACATCATCAAAATGTTAGTCAAAATACATAGAGCAATCATCTGCTGGATACTTGCAATTAGGAGATTAGAAAAATAGAAAGCAGTGTTTTCATATGCCATCACATACAATCATAGGCTGATACATGTAGATACAGGAATGTGACAAAAATGTGTCAGCTGATTGACCAGTTCCTAATGTTTCAAAAATAAAGATAAATTATCATTTTCAAATAGCAATCAACAAAAGATGATTAAAAGTCTATCAATACCTTCAGAATTGATGCAAAACCACTAAAGTAGCTGTTTGGTACCTATCCCCTATTCATTTCAGAGTTACACAGCAGGGAGAAGTTTATTCAACAAATACCCTCTCTGGAAAATATGAACAGTTACTGTAGATAACCCTACCATGGCGCAGTACTCCATGATGAGTAGAAACGGCATGGTCTCCAGACACTGGGCCAGAACCACCAGCAGGTTGGGATGCTGCAGCTCTCTGTATGCAGCAAGGAACAAGGAGTTACCTCTTCAGTCGTCTTCCTCAGAAAAATGGCAGGAACTTCCAACGCAGATAATGTGTAACTGTCTATTCACAGATAGCAGTCCTTCTTATTTTTAACTCCTTTTACATGATTGTATATGACAGAAATTATCCATTGACAAGGCTATGAAGCTTGTTGTATAGCCTGGAAGCTCAGACCTGTTAGGCTGCAGCTCCTGTAGGAAGACAGCCTGTTCCTCGGGGCCTGCAGATGTCTTGAGCTGCCGGACTATCACGTGGGACTTCTGTTCCCCTGGCATCAGTCCGCTGGCCTCGGCTGCCAACACCTGAAGTATTGTCATAATTAAATTATCGTGAAAGTTCATCTGTGTTGGTAGTTAAAAATTTAAAGCTAAAACTTTTGTTTTAACACAAAAGAGAAACGTTCTCACACAGAGCTTTTGACCAGTTACTCTGATGACTTTCACTGGGTCAGTCTACTGAGGAAGACCACAGTAACTGGTCAAAAGCTCTAGGTTAGAACATTTGTCTTTTGTGAAGGAACAAAAGTTTTACCTTCAAACATATTGCCAAGTTAGATACTGATATTGATACAATCAATATCATATTGCCATCAAGTACAAGTACAGTAAAAAAATTGGGTGCACATCTCCAGTTTTGGGCACCAAGGTACATATGTACCCAGTATTTCAACCTCTGGTAGGTAAACCATATCCCACCTTGCCAAACCAGCCGTTTCCAATCTCAGCCACATAGTTGAGCTGTGAGCGTGGAAAGTTGGTCCTTCTCACACCTGCAAAAAACAGATGCAACAAAGTCACAGTTTTAATCAACATTGAAATTTAACTTCACATTGACTTTTGCTACAGATAGAAAATATCAATTTAGGCACATTACAGAGTCCAAACTAGAAAGGCCAATATTTGCTTTGGAGCAAATACAGCGATGGGTTCACCACATTTTACGACATGGCAGGGAAAGAATGAGAAACACATGAAAACAAAGATCAGTGTTACATTGATATAACTATAATATGAAGTAACATACGACTAAAACAACAGTTGGATAGCTATTCCCTACTTTATTGGTTAGGATTTTTAATTGCATAATGCAAACTGTTGATTTTCAAAATAAAAATAACGTTCATGCCCCGCATTCCAATGCTGGAGCAGGAAAGCTTGAAATACCTACCAAAACACTTGAATACAGACATACTGTCAGTATGGAAATTCTCTGTGCAGGTGTTAATCAAGTTAAATCCCAACAGCCAATCAGCAAGAAATGCTCTGTGCAGGTGTTAATCAAGTTAAATCCCAACAGCCAATCAGCAAGAAGAATAGAGGAAAGCTGCATGCCTATTGGTTGATGCCCTGCATTCCATTGTAATGACTCATACCCAAACGTAGTAAACATGGCACACTAACACAGTAATACATTTGCTATAACACAGCCAAAAAACTCAAATAAAACCATTCTAAAAGCCTGTATCACAAAAATTTAAAAAACGCCTAGGGGTATTTGCCCACTGTACCTCCATACCAAATTTCAGGACCTTAGGCCCTAAAATGAAGAAGCTGAATCCATTTAAAAAATGGCAGGAGGAGGAGAAGGAGGAGGAGAAGGAGAAGAAACACCAGAAAAAGCAATATGGTTTCACCACACCACTTCGTGGTGTGGTGAACCCATAACAATTTATTTGATGAACTGAATGTATTATGATAGAAAGAGAAGAGTGTGATGTTTTGTTTTTCCATACCTCTGGTAGCGACTGGGTGAGATCCAAAAGGAGCCAGTACAGAGCCTGGGGGGTTGGGAGACTGGGGACCACTGAAAATAAACAATTTAGTATCCTTGAGTACCTTCAGTCCTACTGTAGTATTCACTGTGCTTCGTAAAATTTGTCTGGTGCAAGTAATTTTCAATATAGAAAAAAAGTATTTCAAGCCCTGCAATGCAACCAAACAATGATGTTATCACTAAATCTCCCTCTCAGACAATTGCATTTCTACAGGAGAAGCCAGCGGTATGAGTAACCCGCTAAGTGGATTATAGACTGCAGAGACAGATCTCATGTCTGCTCATGTCTCAATACCAAGTTCAGGGTCACATCATGGATCTGACATCATGTTCAAGTGCATGTGGTATTCAGTATGTTGTACTTCATTAAACAGAACTATTCCCATGTGAATTACAGGTAAATATATATAATATACCTGTGTGAGAGTACAGTTATATCAGGGAGGGGTTCTATCTGTTAACCTTACCTGTGTGAGAGTACAGTTATATCAGGGAGAGGTTCTATCTCCACAGGACTGTTGGTGAAGGATGACATGGGGGCAAACATGTCCGACATTGGAGACATTGAACTCCCAGAAACCTCTGCCACATCCTCATTAAGGTCCTGCAGGTAAACAAACATGGTAAATAACAACATTGGCTTTCACAACAGACTCCATTTGAAAGATTTTGACAAAATGCTTACTGATATTGAGAAGTTACCATTCTCTTTAATAACACCACACAAAATGTTTAACAAGAACAAAATCTACTACAATGTACATGCAAACAGCAGCAAGACTTACATGTACATGTACATGTATGAGAATCTAATGTCACTTCTGATTTGTATGATAATTTTACTAGTGCCTAGAAAAGGCAATGTTTAGTGAAGGAAACCTACACATGTATATATCAAGAGAAGGAAAAATAAGCTACATCTAAGTTTTCACATGTAAAGTATATAGAATGCAGCTCTCACAGTCACGTTTCATTAGTTTGGATCTTAAGTTTTTTTGACTGAGAGTGAGAAAGAGATTAATGTTCATGAAAGCCACTCGTGATATTTTGTGATGACAAGTAAGACGTTGTTGTTTGCCAGCAGGAGTCATCACCATCTCCACAGGGTATGTCTGTGGCTACAGGCCATGGGCAACGTTCCAAGACAACGCCTCATGGAATTCCTAGCCTTAGGCCTAGGAAAATTTATGTTGTGTTTCCGGTTTCCTGATTGATCCTAGCAAAATCCCACCGACCCTAACCTTTTTTCTATCAACCACTGGTCATTAGCTATAATATAACGTATAAAATGTTCGATCCGACGTCTGAATTTCAAACCCTCTAAATTCCAAAACATCATTTAAGGCATTTTCTGCAGCACTTTTTCCTCAGTAAATCAGCTGAAATCTGGGTGAAATATTCATCCACAAGCAAACAGGTAGACAGGCCCTTGAAACAGTCTTGAAGCATTAAATTTAAAAACTTGTTGGATCATCTTAGTCAAAATCTTAAGAAAGAAAAAAGAAAATCCCCAGGACAGGACTGAAAACAGAAACACAATATCAATTTTCCTAGGCCTTACCAGCAAAGCAAGCAGTCTGGGCACCCCCAGTAGTCCTACACACAACACTATAGTCTACAGCACAGTAACACTCAGGGTTACCTTACTAAGGCCTGGTATGCCACAGTTGGCCTGATACATGTAGATGCCACACAATTCCACCAAACAGTGCCAAATAGAAAATTCCAATATGCAACCCAGACCTGACAGTTGTAAAGAATCTTTGCGTGCCCACTCCTGACGTATGTGGTATATATAAGGCACACCTATGTTGACTCTGGCCTGGGGTAAAACCAGACTGCTCCCTACTCGTCAATGTCACAGTCATAATATTTACTCTCTTGAGGGAGCCTGGGGGTATCTTCCTTTGAGTTCTTATATGGTTAACGGTACCATTTAAAGAACTTAATCAATGTTAATTTCAGCCGATAACATTGTAAATGAACACAAAATTTCTGTTCTGCTGAATGAAAATCTTCCCCTTTTCCAATTATGTTATGACTTTTTTGAAATTATGTAGTTCTTTTTGCAATAAATGTTGAATATTTATGTACTACTTCCATTGAGTTAACTGAGAATGGCTTTTTTTATTCATTTATCTATCAATGTTTTGTGTGTATCTTCATTTATGTAAAATTAATTTAAAAAATTAAAAATCATATCATATGAAGAGCCTGGTTGTCTGACCTTGAACCTGCGATCCTTGCAGCAGAGACAGACAGCAGTGAGGATCACCAGTGACAGTAAGACTGCTCCTGACACCCAGGCTGCTAACACGCTGCCCTCACTGTCCAACAGGCTTCCACTGTCTGCAGCTGGGTCTACATCTTTACAGGGGAAATAAACGTTACAATTAAACATTTTTAAAAGTTTCAAACATAATCTTTCACCTTTAGACTGCCTGGAACTGTGTCTACATCTGTACTATAACTTTCACCTTCATACTGGCTGATGTGTCTACATCTCAAAATGTTGTAGTACAGCACTGTCAATTTTAAACATTTTAAAACAGTTTTAACAGTTTCAAACATTGCAATCTTTCACAATTAGACTGGCTACATCTGTGCCTACATTTGTACAGGGGAAATATTACAAGTTTTAAACATTTTTAAACAGTTTCAAATGGTTTTCAGACATTGCAACCTTTAGACTGCCTGCATCTGTGTCTTTAGTCAAAAGTTTTTAACATTTTTAAACATTTTCTACAATATGTAATCAGATGAAATTTCCTGTTCCAAATACTGTTCCATAATGTTCTGGCTCAAACATGTAGTAAAATGAGATTATTTCTGAAAAAAAAACCCTATTGAATATTAATTCTAATCTCTGGAATTGAAGGAAGTTGTGTAAGGTGTGTTTCCCAAGGGCACAACATAAATTGGGCATGCCATGTCAAGGGATCGAACCCAGGACCTCTTGGTTCAGAGCCGTAGTTTCGCACTAACCATTACGGCACGCGATACGTAATTACCATAAGATTGTCATTCTCCCCGGGATGTGACGTGTTTTCACAGATGCTTCCATGAAATCAGGACCAGACGCTGACACGGCGTGACAGATATCTTTTTCCTTGCGTCATGAGAAAGGCAAACATTACCTCGTGCTCCAATCAGATCGATATACAGGATCAGAATTTGTGCCGACTGTACGTTTATGTCGTGATCGAGGCATAAACAAACCGAATTTTGTTTTAAAAATGTATGATTTGTGTGTTTTCAAACTCTTCTCGCTTGTTGCAAAAACAAAATTTCAAAACGTTGGCGGCTTTTCAAAAATCGTGATCATGATCACGTTCGATTCGCAACATGCAAAAATCTCAGACGTATAAACGCTCGCTAGCTGCGTAACCGCTGTGAAACCTTAGTTTTTGAAATGTTCCTTGTGTTGTACAGATGTTTACCTTTCTGGTGAGGTAGAGCGGAGGCCTCAGACAGTCCAGACAGGGAAGAGAAGAGGACGCAGGTTCCGTAAAATCCAAGGCGGATGAATTTTGCTCCCGAAGCCATCGCGATGTCACTGGGTTCGACTTTACTTCCGGGATTTCTTCACGTATAAGACGGGTCTCAACTCCATGTCTTCCGGGTGTCTACAGTGTCTTCAGTACCACAGTTTTCTTCCAGAAACATCAACCTAACGACTTGAGGGAGTCAGAAGGAAGAGATTAAAAATTCAGATGAATGAACGACACTTCCCTCCCACAACAAATCCCGCCATCTTTGATTAGAGCATGACGGGATACATATCACAAGACCGAGGGGCAGTGCGTTACTTTTCTTAGTTGGTCGCAAAAAACTTACAAAACATCCGTTTCATAGAACCATGTCTCTCATAAATCCAAGATGTTTGATATCTGAATGGCGATTTATAATCTTTTAAGGTCTTAAGTAGCATTTTCTGTACATTATGATGTCTTAAGATTGGTAGAAGGATAGTTTAGCCATCTTACTCCTTAACCAATAACGGTTAGTCCCCCTAAGAAAGCATTACGTCTTCCCAAATTATGGCAAATTGGTCTTCATTTCAGCACCTCTTGTCCCGAGGGAGCGTTAGAATTGATCTAATCAATCTAAATCGCAGTAAACTACAGGGCAGCGGATTAAAGGCGGCTTATACGGGCCGACCTGACGATGTTTTCATCGCAACGCTCCATTTCGGATTGCAAAAATATTGCCAACTACGGGATTTGTAAATCGATTAAAATATCCGAGGTTTATATAGGAATAAAACTTCACCAATTAAAATGCTTCCGAAAGTCCCCAGGTATTTCTAGTCTCAAAATGATATGGCCGAATGCACCAAGGGCGTCAGTTAAAATCCCCTTTTAAAAGCACTGTACTGGCCAATCCAATTTCAGGCCGGTGTTCTGAAATATATGGTCCGGCTGAAATAATCGGTCCGGGTACCATATACGGAGCGTGGGAACAGGAAGTGGGCGTGGCTCAAAAAGTACGAAGGCCCACAGGATCAAAAGCTTATCACTACACGCTGCGACACGTTATTTTTATACAACACACGATTAGCTTGACTTTTACTAACTTCAAGAGGGAAGATTAGTATTACAGTTTCTGATCTGTCTTATATTAAACTTGTTCTTTCCTTGATCTGTAAATTTTTCAAAACGCCTGAAATAAACGGTCCGCCCTCCTGAAAATCGCAATGTTGCCCTATAATATCTTATGAAACTGTTTTTTCTACTATATCATGGCCGAGGTAAACTTGTCTCGTACAATCAACGTCGTTGTTCTTGACACTGAGCCTTAATCTCTTAGATATTAGGGGCGGACCGTTTATTTCAGCCGGACCAATTATTTCAGAACGCCTGAAATAAACGGTCCGCCCTCCTGAAAATCGCAATGTTGGCCTATAATATCTTTTGAAACTGCTTGTTCTACTATATCATGGTCGAGGTAAACATGTCTCGTACAATCAACGTCTTTGTTCTTGACATTGAGCCCTAATCTCTTAGATATTAGGGGCGGACCGATTATTTCAGCCGGACCAATTATTTCAGAACGACTGAAATAAACGGTCCGCCCTCCTGAAAATCGCAATGTTGGCCTATAATTTTTTATGAAACTGTTTTTTCTACTATATCATGGCCGAGGTAAACATGTCTCGTGTAATCAACGTCTTTGTTCTTGACATTGACCCCTAATCTCTTGGATACTAGGGGCGGACCGTTTATTTCAGCCGGACCAATTATTTCAGAACGCCTGAAATAAACGGTCCGCCCTTCTGAAAACCGCAATGTTGGCCTATAATGTCTTTTGAAACTGCTTGTTCTACTATATCATGGTCGAGGTAAACATGTCTCGTACAATCAACGTCGTTGTTCTTGACACTGAGCCTTAATCTCTTAGATATTAGGGGCGGACCGTTTATTTCAGCCGGACCAATTATTTCAGAACGCCTGAAATAAACGGTCCGCCCTCCTGAAAATCGCAATGTTGCCTTATAATATCTTTTGAAACTGTTTTTTCTACTATATCATGGTCGAGGTAAACATGTCTCGTACAATCAACGTCTTTGTTCTTGACATTGACCCCTAATCTCTTGGATACTAGGGGCGGACCGTTTATTTCAGCCGGACCAATTATTTCAGAACGCCTGAAATAAACGGTCCGCCCTCCTGAAAATCGCAATGTTGCCTTATAATATCTTTTGAAACTGCTTGTTCTACTATATCATGGTCGAGGTAAACATGTCTCGTGCAATCAACGTCTTTGTTCTTGACATTGACCCCTAATCTCTTGGATACTAGGGGCGGACCGTTTATTTCAGCCGGACCAATTATTTCAGAACGCCTGAAATAAACGGTCCGCCCTCCTGAAAATCGCAATGTTGCCCTATAATATCTTATGAAACTGTTTTTTCTACTATATCATGGCCGAGGTAAACTTGTCTCGTACAA